ACAGTAGTACAGTCAGTAATACAGTAGTACAGTCAGTAACACATTAGTACAGGGAGTAACACAGTGGTACAGTCAGTAACATAGTAGTACAATCAGAAACACATTAGTACAATCAGTAACACAGTAGTACAGTCAGTAATACAGTAGTACAGTCAGTGACACAGTATTACTGACTGTATTACTGTGTTACTGACTGGACTATTGTATTACTGACTCTACTACTGTATTACTGACTGTTCTATTGTGTTACTGACTATACCACTGTGTTACTGACTATACTACTGTGTTACTGATTGTACTAATGTGTTTCTGATTGTGCTACTATGTTACTGACTGTACTAATGTGTTACAGTCAGTAATACAGTAGTATAGTCAGTAACACAATAGTACAGTCAGTAAAACAGTAATACAGTCAGTAATATAGTAGTACAGTCAGTAATACAGTAGTACAGTCAGTAATACAATAGTACAGTCAGTAACATAGTAGTACAGTCAGTAACACAATAGCACAGTCAGTAATACAGTAGTGCAGTCAGTGACACAGTAATACAGTCAGTAATACAATTGTACAGTCAGTAATACAGTAGTACAGTCAGTAACACAGTAGTACAGTCAGTAATACAGTAGTACAGTAGTACAGTCAGTAACACAGCAATCCTTGTGACCAGTTCTAACCTTTGAGGTGCATTTGTAAGGTGTTGATTTAAAGCTACGATATGACGAAGTTGTTGATGTAAAGCTACGATATGACGAATGTGTTGATGTGAAGCTACGATATGACGAAGGTGTTGATGTAAACCTAGAATATGACGAAGGTGTTGATGTAAAGCTACGATATGACGAAGGTGTTGCTTTAAAGCTATGATATGAAGAAGGTGTTGATGTGAAGCTACGATATGACGAAGGTGTTGATGTAAAGCTATGATATGACGAAGGTGTTGATGTGAAGCTACGATATGACGAAGGTATTGATGTAAAGCTACGATATGACGAAGGTGTTGCTTTAAAGCTATGATATGAAGAAGGTGTTGATGTGAAGCTACGATATGACGAAGGTGTTGATGTAAAGCTACGATATGACGAAGGTGTTGATGTGTCTGAAGATGGAGAGTTTGGTTCCCCTGACAACATGTCAGTTTGACATCAAGTCAAACAGCAGTCAGTCCAAACGCTTTTTCATATATTTTTTCATACTTCTGGAGATCGGAATGAGACAAAAATACTTAGGAGTTTGCGATTGGAGAATCACACCCCCGTTTTTTTCTTAATATGAAAATCCTCCCATTACGTCAACCATGGGCATGCCAGATTTTATGTTTCACGGCATTTGAATAAAACATAGTGACTCTATTCTTTTTTAAAGCCAGATAAAATCTCGAACTTGAAGTGAAAATCAGAATAAACCCACCGAATAATTATCTGTGGAACGGCCATCTAATTGATTCCGCAATATTTACATTTATAACAACCAGATTGGGCCTACCGAAATCGGCTCGTCTTCTCGTATATAAGGAAATTATCAATTGTTCATCAAAAAAATGAATTGTATGTAGACAAATATGGATTCTCTTATGAACTATTAACTATTAAATGTATCAACCACATCAGTGAAATGTTATTGATTTAATGTTTCGTAGGCGGATAGCACTACAACCTTGATTAGAAGCTTCGTACTCTAAACTATATAACTTCACCCTAAAACAAGACTGTCATTTGTCTCACAACCAGAGCAATACTAGATCCTTTAAGGGTTAGGGTTTAAGTGGCCTTGGTGATTAGCTATTTGCTGATACAACATTGATAAGATCTAATTAGAATGACAACAAAGGGTTCTATACCGGAGGGTCGTATTGATTATACGTCACGTACACGGCGTCACAACTCACGTAGATAAACGTCTGTCTGTCAGCTCAAAATTTGAAATATGCATATCAAATAGTATGCAGAGATTTTCATTGAGTTTGGTGGTAAGTATGTGTTATGGAGATACATTAGACTTTATCTATCTGCTGTTGTTTCCTGACTTGTGTAGTATTATTGTCAATTTTAATATTAGCATTTGTTCTCAGATAAACCAGTAGGCAATCCACCCACTGGCGTATAGAGGAATTGACGCCCAGTACACTCGGAATCGTGATTTACTGTATTACAGAATGTATTGCAAACGTGCTAAGTTCTTATCGTAAACTTGAAGGTATTATATATGTTACTTGGCTTGCTATAAGATACACTATGTCCTCTTCCCCAGGGTTAGGGTAAGGGTTCCCCAGGGTTAGGGTTAGGGTTCCCCAGGGTTAGGGTTAGGGTTCCCCAGGGTTAGGGTTAGGGTTCCCCAGGCAGCCTAAATGTTTGCTGATGCGAGGATGTAAACTATTAATTTTAAATACTGTACAGTAATAGGATAAATAGGGAGCAAAAGATGAGGGAGAAAAAGATGAGGGAGCAAGTAGAGGTAATTAGGGAGAGGGAAGGAAGCGGGAAGAATGAATAAGGGAGAGGGAAGGAAGCGGGGAGAATGAATAAGGGGGAGAAAAGGAAGCGGGGAGAATGAATAAGGGGGAGAAAAGGAAACGGGGAAAGGGAAGTAGGGAGAGAGAAGAAGGGAGAGGACAGGAAGTGGGGAAAATGAATAAGGGAGAGAAAAGGAAGCGGGAAAAGGGAAGTAGGGAGAAGGAATTAGGGAGAGGGAATGAAGTTGGGAGAGGAAAATAGGGAGAGGAAGGGAAAGAAGAAGAAAGAAGTAGGGAAAAGGAATGTAGAAGGGAAGAATAAATTAGAGAGAGGAAAGGAAGCAGATAAAGAGAATAAGGGAGAGGGATGGGAACGGGGAGAGAGAATTAGGGAGAGGGATGAGAACGGGGAGAGGGAAGTAGGGAGAGGGAGGGAAACTGGGAGAGGGAAGTAGGGAGAGGGATGGGAGCGGGGAGAGGGAAGTAGGGAGAGGGAAGGAAGGAAGGAAAGGGAAGGAACCGGGGAGAGAGAAGTAGGGAGAGGGATGGGAGCGGGGAGAGGGAAGCGGGGAGTGGGAAGAAAACACAGAGAGAGATAAAATATCGTTCACTGTGTAACTAGGAAAACTTTTTACCAAAATATAGTAACCCCAAATTATATATATTATACGGTTTAAATTTACATTTCATATCGGCACTCCAAACACAAGTGAAGCCTATATAACTCTCTAATGCACTACAATTGTATCCAGCTTTGTACATAGGCATTCCATTACTTGCCTGATGTATTTAGCCAGTTTAGATGGGAATTGGCTGTTTATTTTACTTGAGAAGGAGGGTAAAGTTCTTATGTATCTGCTAGATTGTTCCATACAAGTAAAGTAGCTAGTATGATAGTCGACAGCAATGCTTGAAGTCTATCACGTGTAAGTGGAATATATAGTTTCCCTATTTCTTGATGCATAGGGCTGAGAATTAATGAACACATATAATAGGCGTTATTTTCATGGCACATTTTGTATTATCTTCTTCTTTTTAACATCTCCCAACCCGTTGGTGCTTGCTTTGGTCTCTTCTCTCCTCTCTGCCTCTCTTCGCCCTTGTGTCCCATTCCAGACACACTTCCACTTCCTCCGTTTACTAACTCGCCCACTCCGTTCACTAACTCTTACTTAACTTGCCCGTTTCGGTTACTAATCCGCAAACCCTGTTCTCTAACTCGCCCAATCCGTTCACTAATATAACTCGCCAACTCTATTCACAAACTCCCCCACCTCGTTCACTAATTGGCCCACTCCGTTCACTAACTCGCCCACTCTGTTTACTAACTCGCTTACTCCGTTCACTAACTCGCCCACTCTGTTTACTAACTCGCTTACTCCGTTCACTAACTCGTCCACTCTGTTTACTAACTCGCTTAATCCGTTCACAAACTCGTCCACTCCGTTCACTAACTCACTTACTCCGTTCACTTACTCGTCCACTCCGTTCACTAACTCACTTACTCCGTTCACTAACTCGCCCACTCATTTCACTAACTCACGTCCTTTTCTGCAGTCGTCACCTCTATGATCCGTTTGATGAAACGGTCAACGCGACGATTCCGCTGATTACATAAACGACTTACCGATCTCATAGAGATTTAAATACAATCAAATACTTTTTGCCGTTTCTGACCAAATTTTCATTTTTGGTTACCTTTATTTTCTGTAAAAGTAAAAAATAATTAAGGAAACTTCAGAAACAAACAACAGCCCACCAAACAAAAAAATGGAAACTTCGCAAGAAATGTATTGTTCAAATCCTCTCACAAATTTTTCACATATCATTTTGTGAGACGATGACGATAATTTAGATAGCGCGCAGACTTTTATAAACTCGTCATGGACCAGCACCGAGGGGCCCTGGATCAGCACTAAGGGGGCCCTGGATCAGCACTAAGGGGGCCCTGGATCAGCACTAAGGGGGCCCTGGATCAGCACCGAGGGAGCCATGGATCAGCACTAAGGGGGCCCTGGATCAGCACCGAGGGAGCCATGGATCAGCACTAAGGGGGCCCTGGATCAGCACCGAGGGAGCCATGGATCAGCACTAAGGGGGCCCTGGATCAGCACCGAGGGAGCCATGGATCAGCACTAAGGGGGCCCTGGATCAGCACCGAGGGAGCCATGGATCAGCACTAAGGGGGCCCTGGATCAGCACCGAGGGAGCCATGGATCAGCACTAAGGGGGCCCTGGATCAGCACCGAGGGAGCCATGGATCAGCACTAAGGGGGCCCTGGATCAGCACCGAGGGAGCCATGGATCAGCACTAAGGGGGCCCTGGATCAGCACCGAGGGAGCCATGGATCAGCACTAAGGGGGCCCTGGATCAGCACCGAGGGAGCCATGGATCAGCACTAAGGGGGCCCTGGATCAGCACCGAGGGAGCCATGGATCAGCACTAAGGGGGCCCTGGATCAGCACCGAGGGAGCCATGGATCAGCACTAAGGGGGCCCTGGATCAGCACCGAGGGAGCCATGGATCAGCACTAAGGGGGCCCTGGATCAGCACCGAGGGAGCCATGGATCAGCACTAAGGGGGCCCTGGATCAGCACCGAGGGAGCCATGGATCAGCACTAAGGGGGCCCTGGATCAGCACCGAGGGAGCCATGGATCAGCACTAAGGGGGCCCTGGATCAGCACCGAGGGAGCCATGGATCAGCACTAAGGGGGCCCTGGATCAGCACCGAGGGAGCCATGGATCAGCACTAAGGGGGCCCTGGATCAGCACCGAGGGAGCCATGGATCAGCACTAAGGGGGCCCTGGATCAGCACCGAGGGAGCCATGGATCAGCACTAAGGGGGCCCTGGATCAGCACCGAGGGAGCCATGGATCAGCACTAAGGGGGCCCTGGATCAGCACCGAGGGAGCCATGGATCAGCACTAAGGGGGCCCTGGATCAGCACCGAGGGAGCCATGGATCAGCACTAAGGGGGCCCTGGATCAGCACCGAGGGAGCCATGGATCAGCACTAAGGGGGCCCTGGATCAGCACCGAGGGAGCCATGGATCAGCACTAAGGGGGCCCTGGATCAGCACCGAGGGAGCCATGGATCAGCACTAAGGGGGCCCTGGATCAGCACCGAGGGAGCCATGGATCAGCACTAAGGGGGCCCTGGATCAGCACCGAGGGAGCCATGGATCAGCACTAAGGGGGCCCTGGATCAGCACCGAGGGAGCCATGGATCAGCACTAAGGGGGCCCTGGATCAGCACCGAGGGAGCCATGGATCAGCACTAAGGGGGCCCTGGATCAGCACCGAGGGAGCCATGGATCAGCACTAAGGGGGCCCTGGATCAGCACCGAGGGAGCCATGGATCAGCACTAAGGGGGCCCTGGATCAGCACCGAGGGAGCCATGGATCAGCACTAAGGGGGCCCTGGATCAGCACCGAGGGAGCCATGGATCAGCACTAAGGGGGCCCTGGATCAGCACCGAGGGAGCCATGGATCAGCACTAAGGGGGCCCTGGATCAGCACCGAGGGAGCCATGGATCAGCACTAAGGGGGCCCTGGATCAGCACCGAGGGAGCCATGGATCAGCACTAAGGGGGCCCTGGATCAGCACCGAGGGAGCCATGGATCAGCACTAAGGGGGCCCTGGATCAGCACCGAGGGAGCCATGGATCAGCACTAAGGGGGCCCTGGATCAGCACCGAGGGAGCCATGGATCAGCACTAAGGGGGCCCTGGATCAGCACCGAGGGAGCCATGGATCAGCACTAAGGGGGCCCTGGATCAGCACCGAGGGAGCCATGGATCAGCACTAAGGGGGCCCTGGATCAGCACCGAGGGAGCCATGGATCAGCACTAAGGGGGCCCTGGATCAGCACCGAGGGAGCCATGGATCAGCACTAAGGGGGCCCTGGATCAGCACCGAGGGAGCCATGGATCAGCACTAAGGGGGCCCTGGATCAGCACCGAGGGAGCCATGGATCAGCACTAAGGGGGCCCTGGATCAGCACCGAGGGAGCCATGGATCAGCACTAAGGGGGCCCTGGATCAGCACCGAGGGAGCCATGGATCAGCACTAAGGGGGCCCTGGATCAGCACCGAGGGAGCCATGGATCAGCACTAAGGGGGCCCTGGATCAGCACCGAGGGAGCCATGGATCAGCACTAAGGGGGCCCTGGATCAGCACCGAGGGAGCCATGGATCAGCACTAAGGGGGCCCTGGATCAGCACCGAGGGAGCCATGGATCAGCACTAAGGGGGCCCTGGATCAGCACCGAGGGAGCCATGGATCAGCACTAAGGGGGCCCTGGATCAGCACCGAGGGAGCCATGGATCAGCACTAAGGGGGCCCTGGATCAGCACCGAGGGAGCCATGGATCAGCACTAAGGGGGCCCTGGATCAGCACCGAGGGAGCCATGGATCAGCACTAAGGGGGCCCTGGATCAGCACCGAGGGAGCCATGGATCAGCACTAAGGGGGCCCTGGATCAGCACCGAGGGAGCCATGGATCAGCACTAAGGGGGCCCTGGATCAGCACCGAGGGAGCCATGGATCAGCACTAAGGGGGCCCTGGATCAGCACCGAGGGAGCCATGGATCAGCACTAAGGGGGCCCTGGATCAGCACCGAGGGAGCCATGGATCAGCACTAAGGGGGCCCTGGATCAGCACCGAGGGAGCCATGGATCAGCACTAAGGGGGCCCTGGATCAGCACCGAGGGAGCCATGGATCAGCACTAAGGGGGCCCTGGATCAGCACCGAGGGAGCCATGGATCAGCACTAAGGGGGCCCTGGATCAGCACCGAGGGAGCCATGGATCAGCACTAAGGGGGCCCTGGATCAGCACCGAGGGAGCCATGGATCAGCACTAAGGGGGCCCTGGATCAGCACCGAGGGAGCCATGGATCAGCACTAAGGGGGCCCTGGATCAGCACCGAGGGAGCCATGGATCAGCACTAAGGGGGCCCTGGATCAGCACCGAGGGAGCCATGGATCAGCACTAAGGGGGCCCTGGATCAGCACCGAGGGAGCCATGGATCAGCACTAAGGGGGCCCTGGATCAGCACCGAGGGAGCCATGGATCAGCACTAAGGGGGCCCTGGATCAGCACCGAGGGAGCCATGGATCAGCACTAAGGGGGCCCTGGATCAGCACCGAGGGAGCCATGGATCAGCACTAAGGGGGCCCTGGATCAGCACCGAGGGAGCCATGGATCAGCACTAAGGGGGCCCTGGATCAGCACCGAGGGAGCCATGGATCAGCACTAAGGGGGCCCTGGATCAGCACCGAGGGAGCCATGGATCAGCACTAAGGGGGCCCTGGATCAGCACCGAGGGAGCCATGGATCAGCACTAAGGGGGCCCTGGATCAGCACCGAGGGAGCCATGGATCAGCACTAAGGGGGCCCTGGATCAGCACCGAGGGAGCCATGGATCAGCACTAAGGGGGCCCTGGA